AGAAGATCATGCAGAGACACGATAGCCTAATTTTTTTTAGTGGGGCAATAGCCTATGTTGATGAACTATATATCCTAATCAAGCAAAGAAAATTGGCGCTAGCTATGAATAAAATTTCAATCAGAAGTTTTCATAAAGCAAATTCTGAAAGAAATTCAGATGTAACTAAATCATTCAACTACATGAACGGATAACAAATGCAAAGTCTTGTCTCGCAGTTAATATTTGTTTTTGTAGTCTATAAAGATCAAATCTTGTACTTCGGTTCTACTTCTTCGGTTAGATCATTCGACCTGCATAATTAGATCACAATCTTGGTCTGCGATATGTATATGTTCCATTATTACCAAGTAATAGTCTCCGTTCAATTCTTAAATACTAATTCCACTATTTGCTGATGTCATCATGCAGTGTTATAGAGAAATAAGTAAAGTATGCTCAACTAATTTAAAGGCCTTCTGTACATTATTATCAAATATTTGAAGTGAGCAGGATGTCCATTCATACCAAGTTCATATACACATTTGTTGCAAAAGAGTTCCTTGACATATTTTGATATTAACAGACAGAAAACGTAAACTAAGCAATTATAACAAGTCGCTAGGGAGCAAATGCACATTGAGAACTTCTGTATAGTTTTGGTACAGATTTTATTGCATGAACAAATGCTTGGAAGGACCCAAGCCCGTGGTCGTGCTGGGTAGTCGGCAACGAGTTCATGAGAAGATCCATCAACCAGAGAATACTTGATACACTGCCCATTGGACTTAATGATGTACAAGCAATTCCCTCGAACTGCGGGATGATCCGGACCAAGGCAACCTGCAAACTGGAGAATATTAAAGAACAAGCTACAGCCACCAAGGGCGGTAGTCCTCACCCACTTCCTATTATCAGATTGCCACTGGAAAACATGGTACCCCACCGGGTAACTCACAGCAGTAACGAGCAATAGCTCACCACGGCACTCTGCTAGTCTCAACATCGAACAATTTTGAACTATTTCTGCACTCGGTTCACCTCCAAGAAACAACAATACCACGGAATTGTTGTCAAGCTCGATGACAGCGGGGCAGTGATTTGGATAGATTAATGCGTACAGGGTGCCTTTCACGAAAATCAGGTCACGAAACCTGTAGCCTTCGTCGCACCGCACCTCTAGACAGTGGTTGTCCCCAATGCGGCAGTAGTGGACGGTGTTGTGGTAATGGTATCGATTAAAGCTGAGAATGAGGTCGCCGGCAAAGATGATTCCTTTGTAGTAGTATTTCAGAGCATCGGGCAGGCGGACTCGCTCGCCTGTGAGGAGGTGGCAGATGTGGAGCTCGCGGTGGCTGCCCATGGCATCGCTGTCCTCGATGGCGACACGGCAACCGAAAGAATCAAATTCGGCATTGCTGGGGTCATGTTGAGCTAGGGCGGTGCGGGGGAGCCGGAAGCGGAGGATGCGGCGAAGTGGGATGTGGAAGAGGGCTTCCGAGGAAGATACCTTGTGCGGGACGAGGAGGAGCGGAGCCTGGGAGGCGAGGTTGGACGGCGACAGCGGGAGGAGAGCCCGGTAGGTGCAGCAGGTGGCGCGGAGGGCGAAGAAATCCTGTAGGGTCGTCAGTCGGCTCGCGACCAGTGGGATCAGCTCCGGTAGGAAGTACGATGAGGACGAGGCGGTTTCTGCCGGATCTGTGGAGGAACAGGAGGTGGTCGTGGTGCTGGAGGCGACGGCGGTGGCCGACGGCCAGATGCTCGTCCGGTGCGTCGTTGACGAAGACATTGCTCGCAGGTGCCGATTGCCGAGGAGTGCAGAGGCGAAGGGCGGTGGAGACGGTAGTGCTTGGTGATTTCTAGGTTTGCACACGGACACGGTAGAGTCCGGGCAGGGTTGGGCTTACCGGCCGAGTTTGTCTTTGATTCCCCTAGCTTTTAATTTAGTGCGATGCTAGGCGCCGGTGCGCCGGCTGAACGTTTCGGCCGGTCGCACCCTAGCCGTCAGATCGGCCCGTCCCGAGCCGTTGGATCCTTATCCAACCAGGTCGTCGTCTTCCTCTCGCGAGCGCGTAACGAGCGTCGTCTTTCTCTCGCGAACCCCGTCTCGTCGGCCGCACGCGTCCCCCCTCGTCGCCGTCCCTCCCTCGCTTTCCCTCCTCGTCCATGGTCGCCGTCCTCGCCGACCGTCTTTCCCGGCTTCCCTGGTCGCCGATCCCAGTCCTCGGCGGCCATCCTCGTCACCGGCTTCGCCCCATGCAACAGCCCACCTCTGCGGTTGTAGCCTCCATGGCCACCGTTGCAGCTCCGGTGGCGAGACCGGAGCTCACCGGCGTGCTCACCGGTGTGCTCGCCGCGCGCTCATATCCCGGTTGCAACAAAAAAATCGAGCGCCATGGGAGATGCCCAGTGCTGCAACCGACGATGGAAAAAGCTACAATTGCTGACGAACAAAGCTTCAACCAGCTATGAAAAAAGTTTCAACTCGTACGACGGAAAACTATGAACGACCAAAGAAAAGCTACAACCGGCGTTGAAAAAAGCTTCATCCGACGACGAAAACAGCTTCAACCGGCTATGAAAAAAGTTTCAACTCGTACGACGGAAAACTATGAACGACCAAAGAAAAGGTACAACCGGCGACGAAAAAAGCTTCAACCGTGGAGCCATAAGCCATGGGCGACAAACGAAAAGCTACAACCGGCGGTTACAAAAGCTACAACCGGCATTGAAAAAAGCTTCAAACTAATTGCCTTAGCTGTGAATCCCGCGATGGCGATGACGTCGTTTTGCTGCAACCATAGTTGGTTTTGCTACAAACGGCGTTGGAATTTGCTACAACCATTTTCACAGCTACTTGCTGCTGCTCCGTTGAGCTCCCACGCTTGCCCATGGCCATCGTCGCCGCGGTGCCGTTCCGGGAAGAAAAAGGTTCAACGGTTGCAGCTCCGCGCGTGATGGGTTGCAGCTCAGACGTGGTTGGGTCCGACGAGGGAAGGTAGAGCTCCGGTGGCGCGGATCCGAGCAGATCTGGCCGAGGGCGGCCGGACCGGCTGATTCCCATGGCGGCGGCGCCCTGGGAGGTCTCCGGCTGCGAAGCTTGGCCATGGCAGCGGGGAAAGAGAGAGACAAGCGACGGGAAGAAGAGAAACAGGAGGGAGAAGACTCCATGTGGGCGGACCGCCCATCCTACGTGTCGCTAGGTGAGTCGCTCGGTACGTTCGCGCGTGGACACGACCGGCCAAAGCTTCGGCCGGTGCCCCGTCGTGAAACGTTTCCCTTTAATTTATGCCTATCGCGGCTTACAAGGTGAAGAGGTTTAGGCCTAGTTTGGTAGGACTGTTCTTTTAAAACTGTGGTAATCCAAAATCTCAGTTTTTCAACGTGCGGGCAATGAATACCACGGTTTTTCCAAAGCGTTGTTTTCCTCTGTTTCGCCAAAACCACCGATCCGTTTGGCAAGTTCTGTTTTACCAGTTTTTTCACTGACTGCAACTAACATCACATGCAAGCCAAGTCCTATGGCAACATAGAATCGATCGGCTAGCTACCATTTAGCCTGCTGTGCGTACTAAGTGTTCTCCAACGACAAATTAATCTACTCCATGGGCGAGCATTGTTTTAGACGTCCCCTACTCGCCAGAGAGTTATGGTCAGTCAGCGACTCAATAGAAGCATGCAAGATTGCCGGAGAGTGACTTGCACCGCTGGCTCAACCGATGGGGTCGTCTACAGAAAAACTAACTAATAATGAGAATCAACCGATGGGGTCACCAACGAAGAAATCCCTGGCGACAGCGTCGAGAAGAAGATGGCTTGTGAGAGACCAAACAAAGTAAAAAAAAGGTTAAGCACTAGCCTGAAACGCCTAATAGTGAGAAGTTAAATTGTATTTCGATTAATGACGAGGAGATGAAGCCGCTGCCCTTTTCTCTCGGTTCTGTTTTGAAAAAATAGGTTGTGACGTCTTTTTTACATACGGTAAGAAAACCACGGTATGAGAGATACCATGGTTTATTAAACTACAATATTTCTTTCATCCAAACACCTCATTTAAAACCATGTTTTTTCAGAAACCACGCTATTCCTCAAAAACCCTAAAATTACATTGCATCCAAAAGCACCCTTCGTTTTTTTAACATGAAAAAGGATTACCTGTTGCTCAAAATAAAAAAGTTGAAATGTATTAGGGGCCGCTAGTCAGCCAGTGGATTTTTTTAAAAGAACGGCCGCCTTGCAAATCGTCAAATCTAACAAAATCGAGCGGCTCGACGTCTTCACCTATTTTGCAACTGAGGTATTGTTGCAGAAACATTTGTAAGAGTGATTGGGTTGCAAATACTTTTTTTTTTTGCAACTTGCGGTCTTTTTTTTTTTGCAACATAGGTCGTATTGTGGATTTTATTTCCTTTCTGTTTTCACTTTTTTTGCAACAGAGTTATTGTTGCAGAAAAACTTTGCAACGGAGGTGATGTTGCATTTTTTTGTCTTCACCTTTATATGATGTTACGGAATAAATTTGTGCAACATGACCGATGTTACAGAAATCTTTCTTGCAACAAATTGGATGTTGCAAAAAAATTGCCATTGTCGTTCGCCACGAGCTCGCACTGGACGGCGACGAGGGGGGGCGGAACCCCCCGTCCCCGCCATCGTGCCGCTGCTGGCGCGCACGTGCAGAGAGGAGCGGTGCCACCTGTCCCCGCCATCGCTGCCACCAACCGCAAGGCCATCAAACCCCAAGCTCCGGTCCCGAGCATTGCCAAACCTTGTCATCGGTTGCGTCGACCAGCTAGCTCGCATGCTCCCCCATGCACATGGTTTTGAAGTCACTAGTTGCTGCTTGCATCTACCTCCATGGGTGATCTCCATCCTAGGCGTGCGGGATGGAGGACGCTGAATAGGTTGGGGAAGGAGAGAAGCTGTAAGGTAAAAGGGGTCTGGATGGGAGTCCTCGTAGGAGAAGATAAGGTAGCAAGGGTGAAGCGGTGCGTGGGACGACTGGGTAGCAAGGGTGAAGCGGTGTGGGACGACTCGGTAGCAATGGTGAAGCGGTGTGTGGGATGACTGGGACACGTGTCATCCATGGGAGGCGGCAGATGCACTGGAAAAATCAGCCGGATGAAGGGAATATTTTCCCAAAAGTATTACCTCTTATAGAAGTTTGCCAAAAAAAGTTTTCTAGAGATCTGCCACCTCAACTAGATTGTCAAAAAAAGAATCCACCGCACTACGTTACATACTACAGAGTGTAAAAATAAAACCGTTGACGTTAACACAATAATGTCAAATTAAGCTAGTACTATTAATCTGATTTTTTTTAAGTTGCATTAATCTCATTATTCACCAAGAAAAGTTTCACAGTCCTCTTGTTGTGTCGACGCCGTCACACCGCACCAAATTCGTCCATGCGGGAGCGCCCTCCGTCAAACGCTTCCTCGGGCCTGTTTACCTCGCCGATGTGGCAATGTCATTCCTCGGATGCTTCGTCAACACCGTTGACCCTGCCGGAGCAGCATCGCCCTACCCAGGACTCTTCCTTGAGCGTACTTACCTCGCCGATGCGGCAATATCATTCCTCGGATGCTTCATCGGCACTGCTGACCTTGCCGGTGCAGCATCGCCCTACCCTGGCATGTTTTTCCTGGGGGCCGCCTCGCCACCACCTCTCCGGCCCAACTCTTGCCTCTCCAACGGATATGTTTATCCCCAACGCAAAATCCCGATGCCCCCAATGGAGGGGCACCCCAACACGCCTCATCGGCATAGATGGCGAGGTATGTCGGGATAGCATCAAAATTATCTTATTTTTTATATGTGTATTGCATGTTCATAGAAACAGTAGTTTGGTGTCATATGCCGTGAAATGCCTCCTATCCCCAACCTGGAACATCTCATGTTCTATGCCTCTTCCCAAGACTCATCGAGCGAAGACCATGATGTCTACTCAAGATAACACCAGTGGTTCCTCCAATTTGTTTCAAGATGTCCTAGCCGGAAGTTGAGTCAAGGTTCCGGTATTCCAAGCCTTGAATTTTAACCTGAGATGTATGTGATTGTATATATGGAACGTATTGACATGAATGAAAAATGTGTTCATGTATTTAGTAACAAATTTAAACGAAATGTTTTCCTCTTGCTCCTTCCACGTGCGAGTCCCAGGCTAGGGTTTCTTCACCTCCTGCCATCGTCGCCGTTGATCTGCCTCGTCTCTTATGGACTTAGGGTAGGGCCATGGACCCGTGGAGGATCCCGACCCTTGCCGGTGTTCCGTGCTCTGGCTATGTTTTTGGTATTTGTGCCCTGCTCTCAGTGGCGGAGCGTGACCAAAATAGAAGAGGGGCCCAACTTCATATAAAAACA